TTGCCATTTATAGTGGGCATAAATGTAAAATTGTGTCATCATTGTGAATTGCTAAACTGCAACAAGGCAATATGGAAGGTCATTGATAAATTTGATAGAATTCTTCGGAGATATCCAAAGAAACCGAAGCGATCGGTATCTGTTATGCATCAAATGTCCTTGTGTGTGTGGCTATAGTCGGCAACAGGGGAGGGGGATAACGAAGCGTTTAGTTTCAGTTGCTAGCTGTGATAAGTTGTCATATTTATGTTATCAAAACAATTGACATACACCAATATAAACACCTCCAAAAGAACGTTCAAACAACTCACGACAATAAAACAATAAACGTGAGGCAGTATAAATAATATGAACAGATGTGGTGTTCATCGTACATTACAATAACTCAAACGTTTCAAGTTGTATGGATGTTTGTGATTATTTATGAAAAAGCCAATCTAAATGTGTAAGTATATAAAAAAATGACTAGTTTGTCGGTCGAGATTTTTTCTGGAAATTACTGTTGACAACCAAACACACTCTACCAAATCCGTCAAATAACCCGTTTAATATCACAGCATTGTACGAAACACAGAGAAAGAGGCTGTGCATGTATTCCGGGCAACGTTTTATATCGAGTATAGTCAGTTCATAATCAGCTAATGTTAGTCTCGGAAGCAGAATTATAAAATTAAATATAACATTTCAATTTCTTATGATAATGGATAAGCGAACAATATCAACCAATAAATAAGATAAGTTGTTACTGACTTCATTGTGTGCAGTGATAATTTATTATGCTAATCTCAGCTTGATCATATCCTATTAATCTTTTGTTACGCATATATAATTGTCCACAAAATACCGACTACACAAGAGACGAGAATGCCAAATGTGTGTTCCTATTACTCTGCGCAAGTTCAAATGTTTGATATTGTCAACCAAGCATGGAATATACTCCATTATGTGTGCGACCAAAAGAAAGGCCAAATATATCCTCAATAATTACGGTCAAATAATGACATATGGATGAAACGAGCTGTTCCTATTTGCGACATGTCACGTTCGATTTTCCGAGATTATAGTGTCATAGCTTCCGTTACTCGCGTATCGTCCTAAATCGCGTTACTTTTTAGGTTTTCGAAAACGTCTACGTACATCAGTTTTTGATTAAATTTGTTTATTCTCCGTTTATTTTTTCGACCCACTGATTTATGGATTTGATCGACTATTCATTATATATATGAGATCTCCTGATAAAATGAATGATTGTTTGGCAAAAATTCAAACAGCATGTGCCTTGTCGATTGTTCTTTTAAAACACATAATATATTCACAATAAACTTACGAAAACAATATAGCAACGCACGCCACCATTTTAACAGCTTTTTGCTGTAATATGAAGATTTCATTTTCGAAGCATGTCCCGATTTAATATGATTTCATCTCGCCAAAGTCTTACACCAGGCTCGAATCAATAATAAAATTTATCTACGACCCATGCATTGAAGAATTTAGTCTATATATTTCACACCTAACATAAATTTTACACAAAAACACGATAATGTGAAATACTTGACTGAGATTCACGAAAGGAGTTGGTTCCCAGCTACAGTTTGATATCACGACATATGGCTATATCTGGCGGGTCCGGCATTAATTATGGATGGATATATCGACCTTCTGCCGTGAAATAGCTCTCTGATTTTTTCATCGAATTTATCCAACCGTCGAAAAGCACAACTAAATGGCTAAATCTGATTTTTCCTTCTGCCGAGAGTGTGGATATTCGTCTGTCATTTTAGCAGGAAGAAATTTCATTGCATGAGATTCGTGTCAATTGCAAACAAGGGTTGCAAAAACACAGCTTTATACACCCGTGATTTTCATATACAGTACGGTATACATATCGCGTGGTTTAACATGCCCTAAAAATATTAATGATACTATAGTTTTCAAAGACAATGTTGTAATATAACAGCACTAAATGAAATTGAAAGAACTTTTTTCTGAGTTATTTTGGTTCATAATACACGAGAATAAACAGGCAAGATGATCCGTTCGTGGAATTTTTCCCTGGAAACTCATATTGGTCTCTAAAATAAACTATTCTGTGTATTGCGAAGTCTTGATAAAGCTTTTAAATTGATTTTGTCGCGCCGTGATAATACCGATTAATTTATTAATCTTCGATTTAATTTTAATGTTAAAAGATGTTTAGCCCTTACTCAGTCGCTCTGATGTGGCGGAATAAACAGATGGGATTCCGATACTTTCTCGAATACAAGATTTTGTCGCAATGATGAATGTTGTTTATATTCACATTGATGTCATTTCTATCAAATATACACATCGCAGTAGAATTTGAAAAGGACGGGAAACGGTGTATCAGTACCGCATATACCGAGAAAATGGGACAACTCCAGTCAGATAAAGCAGGAACGTTACATTTAAAACTTAATGCTAATTCATTGTACGTTTCTGAAACAAAGTATAATGAATTTCCATTTTATGCTTTTACTGTGGAATGAATAATATTCGAGATTCAAATTCTATTTTTTATCGATTCTTAAAAATGTGACTAACATAACATTTTGTCGCATATCGATACGAGCCATTGCATTCACAGTCACTTGTGATATCAATATTATACTGAAGAACTCTTCCTGTTTTCAATTCATGTTGGTTTTTGTATCACACATTTACGTTAAACAATTTTTGTTTAGACTGAAATTGCTAATTAATCGAATGTAGTGATTATTAGCAACGGTATGTGATAATATTAATAACTGAAATGATGTAGTAAACAAAATTTTATTTGTTTTCCATAAACGTAAGTCTGCATCACAACCTTACATGATGAAGAGTAAAAATACCTGCGTGTTTAAGGCTTTTTGGTTTGATCTTGGTGATGTGTAAGAATGAAACATATTCCACAACATAACTTCGCACTGACAACTAATTCAACCAATGATACGCTTAATAATTGAATTATCTGCGTCCATTAATGTGTTTATATGATTAGACTAATTTGCGATAAATTGCGATTATTGTAGACTAAAAGTCAAGGTAGAATGAAAGTCTGATTTTGCCGTACACTAATTCCCACTTATTTGCTGTTATTAGACTTTTGTCTGAGCTTCACATCTAGATCAATATTCATTTTATATAATGTGTTTTCATCCTTTAGAATTGTAAACTGCTATTCATAATTATTACTTGTCATAAAGAATATTTTAATGCAATTACAATAAGTTCGGAAGATGAATTTACAATCTACCGTCACACAACCCAGAATGTAATGAATTGAGTATATATTGTTCCAATTAGAAATATTTCACTCCGTCCCAAAACACGTGAGTGGATTGTTGTCTAAACGGTAGTTCTTGGCGGTGGTTGAAAATGTTATAAATTACTTTCATGGCACAACGAGCACATGTAATTAGTCGAAGATAAGAATATTATTAAGAAAGTTTTATTGGATTTTAGTTTTCAAGATATGCTTCAAATCGGTAGTCAGCATGAAGCATTCTAGTTTGGAATATTAGTACTTCAACTTTGGGCCATGAATGGATTGCGAAGGAACCAAAAAATTCTTTGATCGACCTCACATGATATATCATAAAACTGCTCTCACATATGACTTAGGAAACCGAGCGAACGTCGACAGCTGTTCGTTTAGTTATTATATTGACCTATCGCATGATGGAAGTTTCGTCAAACTTGCTTCTCTCAGATCATTGATCGAAAATCGTAACTTTTACGCATGCTATGCTTCTAGCATCAACACAAAATTTCGAAATACAAATTTATTTTTTTATCTGCCAAATGAACGAAAAACCGGAGTATGTTAGTAGAATACATTTAATATAGTTATAAGATATTATTTTTGATGAGAATGTGTAAATATGCCAAACGTAAGAGCAATATTTCAAACAATTGTATTGAATATAATAAAAGTGGTAGATGGAATTAATTTCAGAAAAGACGAACGGATATCCACCTCTACCGGAAAATCCAAATATAACACCAACAAACTATTATATTATCAAAAATAAGTTCCAAACTTTAGGTGTCTTTTAATGAAAATCTAAATAATAATTAATTTGAAAAACGAACCATCGTTCGAACCATTGAGCAGAATTTTTCAGGCTTCAAGATAAAACGTGAAAAATGCACGTTTTAGACAAAAAGATAGGCAATATTTGATAAATATACGCATATAATACGTTTTCATTTCATTGCCGTTTGAAAAGCTTAGAAAAAGTTGCCCTTTTCGCGAACTTTATAACAAATTACTCCAAATAAGCGTGTGGCATATCCAGACGGAGATTGAGCAACGTTTTGCGTAGAACACAATAGACAGACCTTCTCATTTGCATAATTTGACAAAATCCAATTTATATGTGACGTTTCACAAATCACAAATCGAAACTTAATGGGTATGATTATTAGAGTGGAAGACAGTCAAAAGAATTGGATTGTTTTGCGACATACGGACGATGTATGCTGCGCAGTGCAAATTGCACCAGACGCCACAACCAAATATTGTCAGATTGTAATAATTATCGGGGTAGTCAAAGACAAAAGAAGAGAGGATACAAGAGCATGTGTGGATTTAGGCCAGAGAGAAGATTGAGATACTTTTCGCTTCACGACGAAGATGTTTTTATATCACTGCTTATAACAGATGATGGTACAGGCCTCGTTGCCTTTTTTACTTCAGACGAAGCTGCACCCGCATGGAATGCAATATGAGAGAATTAAGTAGGAGATGCAAGTGTGTACTCTCTTTTTATTCTTTCGTCAACTGTATCCTCCGAGGACGACTTATAAGCTGGCCCCATTGCGGAGTGCTGGCTGATTTCTCGGCAACCCTTGGGCATTGACATGAAAAGGCTCGATAGCTGCGCAGCGAGTAAACTATAGGTATCGTTAAATACAGCCGAGATCTCTAGAGAAATTATGATAAGCGTTTAGTGACGTAAGACCGAATAGAACTAATTGTAGAAATCCCGGGAGTTGTAAGGTTTTCAGTAATCACAATCTGAATATTCTTAATTAAGTTACGCATGTTTTATTAGTTCGAAAATAAGTAATTGTCAAAAAATAGGAAAACCTATTTTAACACTAATTTTGTTAGAGAATGACGGCCTTGAGTGGACAACAACTAGCGCCTGTGCGAGGGTGGGTGCAAACTGGACTGGTGGACACACTGCCCAGGTAAATTTTCTTATACTTTGAATATATTCATTCGTATTTTACGCTGTGTATATCAACAAATATTGAATATAGAGTATGGAATATGAACTATGCCTGATATTGTGAATTACCTTGACAAAAAATTTAAAACAACTTAAACAAACTTGGAATATGATTTGAAATTAGCAAATTATGCCTCTTTGTTTCCGTTATAAAATTCAGTTATTTTCAGCTGTTCTTCCGTTTAACGAACAAATTACTTAATCGAGCACGCCGTGGCCCACACCGGTCCCAATGGGTCAACAATATTCGTTTGTATTATTGTACTGTTGAAATAAATACGTCATACGCCAGTCTAAGGTCCCAGCAGATTTTCGGTGCTCAACTCATAATGCGGAATTGGCTACGACATTTGACAGTCTCCTCCTGTAGTCCCTAGCGTGGAAGTTGTAGGTTTAGTTTCTTCCAAATCTAACAACAAATTTTATTACTGAACAGTGTTGGACTTCACCGGGCACATTTTGAGAAGCATCCGCCAAGTAATCTACGGAAAAGCAATTTTTTCCATTTTGTATTAGCGCTGTATGATAGGCAGGGACAACCAGTAGAAATTGAAAGAACGGCATTTATTGACTTCGTCGAAAACGAAAGGGTATGTTCATTCTTTCATTATTTTTGCATACTTTGCAATTCTTTAGCTGTTTGTTTTATTCCTTTTTATATTATTTTTTTCCAGTGGTGCATTAGCTTATTTATCTAAATAACTAAATGGAGTTTTTGTTCAATTATTGAAAATGAATTAATTGATATAGAATTAAAATTCCCCATTTGATTTCTCATTTTCCTATAAACATTTATAAGAAGAAATTTTTATCGAAATCTTCAGAGCAATTACATAAAAACTTCTACTCAATTTTTAGTTATTTTCATATTATTTTAGGAAGGAGGCACAGCATCGGAAAAAACAAATAATGGAATCCATTATAGGCTTCAGTTGCTCTATCATAGCGGTAAGCCATTTCTTTTTATTTAATTATGGCAGGCTCAAAATTATAAAGTAAAAACCTGACGCGATGCATTTATTTTATTTTTTATTTTGATCGTATAAAATTTTATTAATGTCAGGGTTTAAAAGCGACCATCTGTTCTAAATGTTATTAGATTTTATTTTTTATTTTTTTCGGAACGTGAAAATAGAAATAGAAATACTTTGCATTTATATATAAAAATAAAATTTAACTAAAATTTCGTTATGTGAAGTTCTTCAGTTCCTTTATGCTGCATTATAATAATGAGTCTATTCAATATTCATTTTATGGAAAAGAATAATATATATATCTCGTAATATATATTAAAATAAATTAACGAACTAAAGTGGAGTTGGGGGGGAAATTATTTATAAACCTTTTTAAATATTGAAGTATCTATGGACAAAAAATATTGAATATTGAAAAATAAATTGAAATAGATATTTTGGTTCATTTTAATTTTGATTCGTGAAACACGCATTTATATATTAAAATCAGATTTCCCCATCTATCTATCTAGTCATTAATTCTAGTAATAGTTTTATTTGATTTAATATTTATTTCTTTATGATTTGGAATCGCTGCCATAATACTTCGCTTTTTACAAAACACACATAATACAGTTGTGTGAGTAATATCATTGAAAATTATAATGTGCGAAACTACACACATATCAATACAATATATATAGTATTTCGGTTGGATTTTCAAATATGAAGGCAAATCGAATGACCCGTAAAATATTTCAAGGTAGTAAGTTTTCAATGAATGAATGAAAAAGTCGATGTTCTTATCTCTCAAAGTCACTTTTAATTAAAGGCAGTCGATTGGTATCAGGTCGTTTTAAAGTTTTTTCGATTTGACGCGACAGAGGGTCCGATCGATGTCGCATCTGTATTAATAAGATGCTAAGGCGGTGCCAATTGCACGTTTGGGGATTGAAACGAACGCTGACTGACTGCATTGCTTCAACTGGAAAAGCAAGCACACGGGAAATCGATAACGCGAGTTGATACTCAAAAACAAAATGGCGGCTTTTTAGTTCTTGCAAAAACAAAGTCAGCAGTTCGCGTCGCGCTGTTTTGAACTCACTTCACATTTTATGAAAATTATATTATTGTTTTTGACATAACCTTTTCACATTGTGGATCACAAATTACCCTCGAATGCTACGATTATTGGACTTGTCATTATTAACAAATTTAATTAACAAATGAAATTTGCGGATTCAGACTCACAAAATACTGACTAATATATTTCATTGTACATCTTGAGTATATAATTTTTAGTTCATAAGAGGAATACAAAAAATGTGACATTATATTTTATTTACTGCAATTCTGAAATTTAAGTCCTATTTCTAATCAATTTTAATTAAAATGATCGCTAATTGTATATATAATAATTATGCTTGTATTTACATAAACACTGATTGTTGCATTAGTTTTTTAAGGTTCTATTTTAAAATATTTATTTTGCTGTTTTTCGCAGGGGTTCGTACTGAACAAGATCTCTACGTTCGTCTCATCGATTCAGTCACCAAACAGGTATTTATTCATTCATATTACAAAATTTGGATGTTTATGAGTCAATATTGTTATAAAATATAAAACTGGTAAAGTTTGAGCAATATACTGTGATATGAGATTCTCCCCGTCAATTTTCAACGTAAACACAATAAATCATGAATTTTAATTTAATTTTTTTATGTGACAATTTACCTATAATAATTTATATCTTTCTTATCCTTCCAGGCAATTTGTTATGAGGGTCAGGATAAAAATCCAGAAATGCGCCGCGTTCTTCTCACGCATGAAATCATGTGCAGGTGGAATATTTTTTTCTTACGAATGCAAATCTAAACTAGAGTAAACCACCATTAATAAATTCAAATTTATTCATTTATTGGTGATAGACTAACTTGGTAAAATAATAATGAAATTTTATAATCAGTCAATGTAATGAAGATTAGTATTAAAATTTCTCTTCTAATTAATAGAATACTTATTCATTTGAAAACTTGGAAATTTTCGTATTAGCTCAAATCAATTCATTTCAATATACAAAAAACAATTCACTTTCACTCCAGCTCCTGTGGCGAGATTAAATCCAATAGTTATATTTATTTTGGATATACTGTACCAATACTTTGTTCAAGTTTCAGTCATTTATATCAAAATGTAAAAAAATTCTTTATTTCAAATACTATTAATAATTATTTCAGTCGATGTTGCGAGAAAAAAAGTTGTGGAAATAGAAACGAAACTCCGTCTGATCCAGTCATTATTGACAGGTAACTTTTTTTGTGGAACGATATGTATATTGTAATAGCGAACGAACTTAGTCAATCTTAGAGGTAAAAAGTTTACCCGTTCCCGGCCAATTCATTACGGTACTATGCTACAGACAGAAATGAGCTCAGAACCATTTTCATTCCGAATATGAGTATGTCTGCCCAGATCCAATGGCTTCTGGTACAAAACTTTGCTGGGAAAATATGAAAACGCTTCGTAACATAGCAGAACTGATGTGAGAAATAGATTTTTCCGCGCGGGGATTTCACGGTATAAAAGTCGGTTAATCAAAACTGGGCGCCGAGTACAGCTTCCTTGTATTTCAAAAATACATTAAAATTCAAATGATTCAATTAATATATTAGTGATGATTATCATCACCCTAAAAAGAAAACCCGTTACGATAGTCGATGACAGTGAATAAAACAGTTATTTCGATTTAACCCTGCATTTTTCATTTTTCTTGATCAATAAAAATATTCTTCCGACTTATTAGCTTATTCCGTGAGATTAGATTGGTATTATTACGCTCGAAAAATATTGCAATATGAATCAAATATGTGTTATGCATAAGTCATAAACCAAAATCTCGTCGGGGTTATTTTTTTTATATTCAATCACATTAAATAAGTAAGCGCGATATCCTAGTAGCAGTAATAGGTAGGGACTTGTATATTAAAATATTGCACCCGAGTTTCGGTTCTTGTCCTGATCTATATAACGCTATAAGGTGTCCGATGTATTGATAATAATCGGTGAAAATTCTGATTGCGTTCGTTCTGTGTAAACTTTTAGACACATATTCTAATTTTTCGTATCGCTCTTGTTATCGCTAAATGTTATTGCCTGCTCGCAAAAGTATTCCAATAAAAATATGATTACGCGCGGTAAAATAAACTATTATTAGAGGTTTTGAATCCTCTTTGACAATTTCAGACAGTCAACTATGGCTCTTGAAAATGTAACACCAATGTTTGTCAAATTCTACAGATTAAATTATTGTTAAATGGCAGTAAAATATCAGCATTTTTTGCAATCTAATATACAAATTTGATTAACCTTTTCGTGGCGTTCAATGTAGCGTAAGGGTGAGTTTGACAAGCAGTCTGTACCAATTTTCCACCAGAAATAGCTCATTATAACAGACTTTCAAAGCCGACCAACCTACTCGCTTCTCTGCGACATATGCTCGGCCTTGCATTCCGGAATCGATTTTCAAATTTTCGGGACAGAAATGAGTTATTCAATGTTCATGGCATCTGCCGTTAATTTATCATAACCTTGTTTGGAACGGACGCGAGCGTTTGCTCGCTTAAAATAGGGTGAACGGACGGAAGCGTGAAAGTTTATTTGACTGGAAAAGACGCCAGATGCGATAGAGTCTGCGACATTGTCGTAAGACCATTGTTTTCACTGTGAAAGAGGACTTGTGTTCTTGATTAAATTAGCAACGCTCATTGGCCGTGATGTTTTAATTTTCTTATATTAGGCCGAATTTTATCATATTAGAGCCTAACAGTTACCATTTCGCACGCGGCGTTTGATGGCAACACGCTGTGCCGGCACGAGACCAAATCGGATCAGCATTTATGTCTGTACAGTTGTTCTTTTCCCTTTTATTCAAAAGGAAGAAATTTTGAAAATATTTCTATTGCCAGGCGATAACCACAGGCAGGGTTGTCAATATATAAAAACTATAAAAGACAGTCGGTCATTCGTACTTGGGTAGAGTTTTTACGGTTGACCAATTATATTTTGTTCATTGCCATAACACCCTGTTGGTCTAACTAGACTTCACGAACAGGACTGCTAAAAGTATTTGAGTTGCAGACAAGGTTTTATTTGTTTATCTGTTTCTGGTGTTTTACAAATGCGGACTTCAGATAAAAACTCGACATCTGGACGAACCTATTTCTCCGCCACGAGAGCGAAAAAATCTGCCGTTTTGTCACGCTTTTCCTTTTGAAAGCAGAAACATGCTACCCCCGCACCTCGCTAAATAATTCATGTGAATTACAGAATGTAATCAAACATGCTACACTGACTGCTTTCCTGCTCCGAAAAATTCCAAATATTTATATAGCTTTCTGGGAACAAGTCTTTTTGATGAAACCGCAATCTTCCCAGTTTCAGTCTAGTAAAGCATTACTCATTTGTACAGACCATTCACTATTTATGAATTCAGTAAAAAATATTGAATCGTATACGCCAGTCTGGTTTATTTTGAGATATATTTATTAACAATAACTGACTGACTGGAATAGTGTTTCATTATTAAACCTTTTTTACGACAAAACTTCGCTAATTAGACTTGTACCTGTAGCAATGAAGGAAGTAGCGATAAGGAATTTTATGTTTTGTTTTACGTTGAGTTGCGCTTTGGTGCTTAATTAAGATTAAAATGCGAGAAATCGAACATTTTGTATTATAAACATTTCTAAGTTATCCTTTTGTAAAACGGATGATTGATTATACGCCGTCTATTAGCTGGACTAATTCAGCTTTGAGCGTTCGAGAAACTATATTTCTGCCCTGATTCGAGCTTTTCTTGTTCGAAGTGGTATTTGTATTCGGCCTATATGCATATAAAATGTTTTTATTTTTTAGGTACTTCTTGAAATTCTTCCTGAAATGCAATCAAAATTGTTTGAAAAATGCGGGAAATCCTCGAGATATGAGAAGATTTCAGGTATTATATATATATTTTGATTTTCGTAATTTATATACAAATTCAACTGACATGTAAAAAATAACATATAAAACATTTCTTATTCAAGGTTGTCGTGTCGACCACAGTTCACGTAGATGGCCACGTACTCGCCGTTTCAGATAATATGTTTGTTCACAATAATTCAAAACACGGTAGAAGAGCAAGAAGACTGGAACCGGCAGAAGGTATTTTTTTCCTATAAATGATAAAATTAAACTGTCTGGCTAAGCATTTCAGAATCTAACATCCAAGCGATCTTCAGAAAGCATTTTTTTGTTTTAAAAGAGTTTGTTGAGTCATTTTAGATGATTTTAAGTCGTTTGAGCTTATTAACAACTTAGTTATCATTTTTTTTTAATAAAATATAAGAAAAAGTAATATTCGCGGTGATACATTATCCGTTGACAAATTTCCCATGCAGTAAAACACATTTTTCAGCATATGAGTAGTTTGTAATGGATTGAAGCCTACTTTATATCGTCCCCAAGTGACTCGTAACACATACCCCAAATCCCCAGATGATATCAACGGCTGTTTCCCATGAATCGATTTTTCATAATTTAACTCGAACCGTCGGTGAGAACATTGCCGTTGGAACGCTACTGACGGAAAACCAACTTTGTCTTAGACGCACTGGGACCCAAACGGTCGCTCACTTTAACTAAAGCCTTTAAACATAATATGTATTTTATGACATGGTTTATTTACCGCAACAAATTCCCTGGCGAAACGAGACTTCTATTAAAAAAGATTGGCACTTTGTTTTACCGTTTGACATGAGTGACCTAATATTTTGATATTCCTATGGGCACAAACGGCCGTTTCAAGTCAGGTGAACAGTCCGCGTCTTTTAACCGACTTCTATCGGGGATATTGAAAATAGACCACGGCAATATTTAAAAAAATATTAAAAGAAATCCTTTTAATTATATATTATGTATAACAATAAAAGAATACAGAAAGTTTAGAAATAATAATGAGTACAAAAATATATGCCGATATTACAACTAAACTATAGAGTATAGAATGTATAATTGCGCGCGCTTGTGTATCCTTTGCATCATATATTGTATGAACATTTATATTTGTAGAACGAGTTGAGTTCCTTCAATGGTCCTAGGCATAATGAACGATATGTAACATACTCTAGTCGGCAATAAAAACGAATATATTGGTAGCAGTCTCTGTCGCCCATTTTGTTTCAGCGATTTCTAAAATAGAAACATATGCGTCACACGTGCTCCGACACCTGTTGCTGTCATTTATTGCGATGACGACTTCAACTGTCCTTTGAATCATATTCTATGTTATATATTAAATAGTGGAGAATGGCATAGTCATGAGGCTAAGCCACCCTTGGGATTTATGCAGTAGTTGTTATTGTAGTTGAAGTGAATTTCCCAGCATTGTGCGGTAAACAATATCTTTTGCTTTCTCTATAGATAATTAAAATGTAGAAAACTTTTTTACGTTGTAACAAAATTTCATGGCGAAGTGATTGATATCAAAAATTCGAAATACCCTTTCCTATATTTTAAATGGCGGAGTATTAAATTCTACAAAACGAAATATTTATTTATTAGAAAAAAATGGAGAGGTTTATTTGTGTTTTATTGCATTAATCTCTTTGTTAACGTCCATGTTCTATACTAGAGTATATATAAAATAGTATGTTTGGCATCCCTTCTTTCTACAACAAAAACATTACATTAAAATCAACGAACGTTTTGTTATCTAAGTTATCATTAAACACTAGAATTTTTCATTGCCAAAAAGTACAGAGAAAAATCTATCACTTGACAAAAAATCGTTAAGACTCGTCAACGGTCGAAAGCGCCAAACACCGATTGGCCCTCATATTGTGTCCCGTGGGAACAAGTCAACGGCACTAAGTTAATGTCTCATACTCGACGCGTGCTTCCATTAGCATGAACCGTTCGCAATTAGCAAGGGCTTTGTGGTTCGTATAGACGAATAAATTTTCATCACACCATCTCGTTTTGACGTATTTTTTACTCAAAAAGTGTCCCGCACCATGTGTCACATTACACGGTGGTCAAGTTTTTTGTTGTTAGCATTTATAAATCGGATTTTCTTTTAGCCACGCCTGTCATCAAAGCAATGAGCCCAAGCGAAGGGTGGACGACCGGAGGAGCAACTGTTATTATCGTGGGAGATCACTTTTTTGATGGAATACAAGTTGTCTTCGGATCTATGATCGTGTGGAGTGAGGTTAGTAGTAGGAAAGTCTACTTCATCTTAAAATTCTTATCTTTATATTTCATCGCAACATCGCCGAAAAACGAGGAAAATAATATGAATAATTATTGTAAAGACAACGATTCCATGTACCAATTATACACAAAAATATAGTAATTTATTTCACCCTTATGCTTACAGATGTGGCTGAGTCATTCATATGTATTACATTCCAATAAATAGGTTTCGTTCTCATTAATAGATTTTAAAACACAATAATATAATATTTATTTCTTATTCTTATCCAATTTTCAGCTAATCACACAGCACGCACTTCGAGTACAAACTCCTCCTCGACATTTACCTGGAGTCGTAGAAGTTACACTTTCATACAAAAACAAGCAATTTTGTAAAGGTTCGCCGGGAAGATTCGTATACACAGGTACACAAATATCCATGTTCATTAAATGAGTTCATTTATGATGCACAAGATCAATCATATATTATTAAAGTTGAAGTATGCGTAATATAAGTTTGTCAAAATTTGATCATATGAACAATCGCCACAAAATTACAGTGTATTTGCTATTTATATATACAGTTAATTTGATTGTGGAATTTTTTTTTCAATTGCGTGAATATATAATACTGATATGGAAGTTTAAATCCTATGTGCTGCTTTCGCCGACAAAATAAATCAAATCAATTTGTTAATTTCAATGTTATCTTTTCTCAGCGCTAAATGAACCGACCATTGACTACGGGTTCCAAAGGCTGTTAAAATCGATACCAAGACACCCTGGTGACCCGGAGCGACTGCCAAAGGTATGTTTACCAACTATTTTTAGTTATAGAAAAAAATACATAAAAGACAGCCATGTTTAAGCGTTGGTAAACTTTCGATTTACAAATAATATATACAAGAAGGATCATTCCGATTTTTCCATCGATTTATAGTGATACCTATATTGAGATATGATGCTTACTGTTAAAATATTTATACATATATTAAAAACAAATAAATAAATACTGTGGTACCTTATTCTATTCCATTTTTTCAATATTTTTAATTTGATTGATAAGTACCAGAAATTTTGTCTACTCATTTGAAATTCCCCGCAATATCGATTATGCCTCGCACAAAAACAGTTTTTAAAAATACTACTAGAGATGTTAAGAATAAAACAAAGACTTATAATGTTGGATGTACTATCAACATTTTTAATACAGAATTAATTGAATTATATGTAAAAATGTATGACTACAAATCTGCATTGATATCAATGGCATAGTCAAGGACTGATTCTTGCCTAATCTTAATAAAAAATTAGCATACAATCATGCTGAATCATAACAAAATCCAATAAACTTTTCCCGACTTTTAAACAATAAAATTGATTTCCAATGCAAAATTGCATGAATCATAAGCTTTTGTTGCGTCAACAGGAAATAGTCTTGAAACGAGCGGCTGACGTCATGGAAGCCTTCATGTCCCGCCCGTACAACCAAATGCCTGCAGCTCCACCACCGCCACTCCAAAATACTTTTACAAGTTCTTCAAGCGCGATGATGGCTGCCAGCATGGGAGGATATAACGGAGTGACAGTACCAAACCAATATTCTTCATTCACGACGCCGGATCGCCTGGACTCTGCCAACGGTAGCGACTCCGGTAAACTTAGGGGCGCTAGGGGGCGCTCACTCTTCCAATGTGCCCAATTTGAATGAAAAAGATATATCGAAGTTGTAATTTGCATATTTTCATAAAAGCATTCGATCAATAATTTCTTCCAAGTAGTATTCAATATTTCGGCCAATATACCGAGAGTTTAAAGGTACTAGATACAGAATCGAAATTCATTTTTGCCCCACATACTTGAAATACAAACAACATTTTGGAATAAAAACATAATTCCATAAATATATCCACAGAAAGAAAAATTACTAATGTACTATATGGAGGATTTTATTATCCAGAATCGGTTCAAATTGGGTTAGTCCACGTGTAAAATGGAAACTAAATTCTTTCAATCCAAAATTGTTTATTAACTTAGTCATCACCACACAGATCCACTGGGATTTTAGTTGCGGGAATGATTGGCATTTTAGTTAAAAGTGATCCAAGTCGGTTTTTGTTTACGATCTTAAAAAAAAAGTGTGTATCAATTTCGTATACTCTTGGGAGATGGCATTATTGAATCGGAATTCAGTTGGCTAAAGAATGATAGTCACTGAGTCAACGTTTCAATTAATGCTTGCCACTATCAAACATGAATAAATACTAGCTCTCATCGAAAACAATGTCTTGACAACCCGGCGATAAATCGAAATATCTTTTTATTCCCAATAATAAAAATCTAATTATACGTTTATTTTCAGGCTATTCCAGAGGAAACAGTGTGTCCCCAAAAACGGGATTCTCTCCTCATTCGACTCCACACAGCAGCGTAAACATGGGACTGTCTTCAATAGGCGCTGTAACAAATGCGCCGCCATACGGAAGTGCAATGAACGGCTATGCTGGTGCACCAACATTCACAAATATGACGAATACTTCGGCGAATATGTTCTGTAATCCTGGATGTAAGAATTATTTATCAATATATATCATCATTTTCAAATCAGAATATCTGCAATTGAGATGAAGATAGAATCATGCTTGCTTGTTTTCCACAATGAAGGTAGATGTCCGTTTTTATTTCAGCGACGGATCTGCCATCATTGCGATAAATTAGCAAGTACATTCGGCCATGCGGAATGGAAATATCATCCCATAGAAACAATAGTTGCTAACTAAAAAATTCAAGAGGAGCAGAAATACTCTCACATTACAAACTACATTAGCCCACTTGCACAACTATTTAACAGTATCAAAGATTATACCAAGCCTTCCCCGCTGTCAACATATCCCGCGTGCTATAGTTTCAGATGCCACACCTTACAAGGAATTACACATACGATATTATGATTGTGTCATATGATACAATTTGCGCAGTGGAAATATAAAAATAAGTACAACACTATACAAATATCCGTTTTTATCTTCGTACCAAAAACTGACTTAAGTTGTCTTTCTTAGTATTGCCACCATCTCCAAATGCAGCCGTGAACGGACTTCCAGCACCCGGTACAACTCCTGGAATATTCAGTTTCTCACCTGCTAACATGATATCGGCTGTGAAACAGAAAAGTGCTTTTGCTCCTGTAATCCGAGCTCATAATACACCATCGCCAAGCAACAGTTCTGTTGCAGAGAATGCATCCTTACACGGTAAGCCTTCTTGTTTATTAACTTCAGGTAAACACTTGAGCGAAATATAGGGTTACAGTAGCCCTTAAAAATTGTTTTCAGTAGTGAAATTGATTCGCTGAATAACATCTTTAATAAAATTTCTAGTCATTCTATACGCAATAGTTCTTTAGGTGTAACGAACAGCTGGTAAGGAGCTCTTTTCTTGTCGGAAGTCTGAATTATCCAAAGAAATAAAGCAAGATTTAATCGAGTTCAAATAATTTTCAGAAATCAACGCATACACATGATATTCACATATCAAAAAGAAAAATACCTGTCAATAAGAGAGAAAATGTTGACTTTTGACCTAACCAGTTGATGAATCTATGCAAAACGGGATGTAAGCCGTCGTCGCTCTAAGACGCCAGGAATGTGGAAACTATGACATCTATATATATTTTTGTCAACAATTTGATACGTTTTTGTGCACTTTTTGCAAATAAGTTATTATCAACGTTTTAAATAATGCTTCTTTCTGCACATACTGGCTTCAATCCTTTTTGCATCCAACCTTATGTTCGCTTGTTTTGTTCAATTTTTCTAGATATTGTTACTATTCTTACTACTATTGTTACAAAATAAACGTATTTTCTTGGTCCATTGAATCGTTTATGTAGTTAAAATTATAGTGATATTGAGCGGGTAACGAAATCAAATTTAAACTACGGTAGTAAACTTTCGGTAAACGTTAAACACTGCATAAAATCACAGCTCAAACACTTACGGAAAAGTGAGCACTGATTTTAATTCTGCGTTCATACTTTGGTGTGCAAAGTAATATTTAGTTTTTGTATGATCAACTGATACATAAAAAGAAAGTACAAAAATACAATCGTCGCATTCTAGTGCAAGAGTTATCAAGGTTATGAAAGACTTTATGCTGACAATTGAACTTCGGGAATGACATGCTTCAGGTGTTCGGCGCCAAATTGTTGTTTCTCATTTTATTCTGATTGAACTATGGATGAACAAGGTAGACATCAAAATCTACCAAGTACGTATTTGGTTTAAAGTTGGGTTACCACGAAAAAAAGTTTCTTGATGAATTTAATTCTATAGATTTTTTCAGAATTTTCGACAGCTACTTATAACATAAAGTCGACTTAATTTATTACTTATGAATTTTTATAAACCGCTTCAACAAAAATCGACGGCAGTTCGGAAACGGCCTTTTATGATGAAGTGGGCTGCTGAGAACTCGATCCAGCACTCGTATTCAACGCTATATACAGCAGTAGGGTATTTAACCTCTTCTTTCTGTATTTTAATCCAGTTCCTCGTAGTTTCATAAAGATTAAAACAATAATGTAATGTAAAACAGAAATGCATAGGCATAGGAAGCTCAGACAGTCAGACGATGGAGCGATGACGTTTTATGTAATAAACGTACCGTTACTGGCAGTCTGGCAATGAAAGTTTCCCCATGGTGTACTGAATATTAAGTTAACTATGGTTTCCCCGAGCATCGATTTCCTTGTTTATTTCCATGCAATTACAAATTAGCGATAAGTTAACAATGACGTAACAATAGATATTTATGCCGCCGCTCAGACATTTCTTTCGCTCAAACAGATACTCAAGCGTGGTTGTAAACATTGCCTCTTTTCGGTAGTTTTGCGTGTCCATTTTTTAGTTGTGTTTCCAAAAAATAGTTGTAAATAAAATAACGTAATTTTCATCATGTTGCCCAAGGACCACATCAAAATTTAATAACGCAAACGCTGTAATAGACTAGTATAAAATTAGCTATCAGTACCTATAAGCGGCACGTTGTTTATTATTTTGAATAAAAAGGATAGTTTCAGCCATGGGAGCCTGTTTGAAAGCGTCAACTCTCCAAAACACTCTCAAAGTCAGCGTTGAGTCGGTTTTTATCATTTATTTCGTTTCTTCGCTGTTTAATATAATTTTCAGTAAAGCCAACAATGCTATTGAGTCACACTCTTATATAAACAAAATTTGGACTGGCTTAATTTATGCAAGTGTCCTTAAATATCATACGGAAAGTATTGTAGAGAATGGATTGTTGTTGTTGATTTGTTTGTCTGGCTTGTACAGGATGACTTCGTGAACCGATTCTGTCCCAACGATCACTGTTCGTAGGTTACCCCCAACGATAATGAATAGACGTTGAAATAATTTGTAATTTCCCATCTTATATAGAATACAGGGGGCTCTTACAGAATACAGGGTTATTCTTGAATAGAATACAGGGGTCCCGACCCCACCTTCCAGGTGATCTCGAAGGGATCGTGGTCGCAGTACGATTCAAGAATATTATTCAAATAATCACAAGAGAATATCTAAACAGATGAGAAAAACAGAAGTATGCCTCTCTCAGTCAGAACAAAACCAAACGTAGACAAGCCGCTATGCGTGACGCAGCTATTTGTTGCGTCACAACTTCGCTTTTCGTTGTTTAGATTTAGAACGCTTTTTGTTGTTTAGAAGTTTTTGTTCAAACGAGATAAGAGTGGCATTCTGGAGCGAAACGCAATGCAAAATATTCCAGATACAAAGAGCGATTGTTTTCGCCAGCAGATTCAAGCGAGCGCAATCTTTGTTTATTTATTTCTGTGCGGGTAATGATTACTAGCTTGTTTATGCGCCGAAACCGATTGCGAACTCGCTCAAATTACTTTCTTTCAAGTGATAACATGTTCATTGTATATTTCTTAGTTTTCAAATACCTACAGATATCAAACTCGTAGAATTAAAAATATGCGAAATAAGTGACGCACATCCGGGGTCACAAACACTCGGACAAGCATATATCTGGCTTGAAAACGACGCAGAAATGACTTATTGCTTTTGTTTTGATATACGTCCACTATGAGACGTATACATAAAGAATATTAACTCTTACTGACCAATCATATTAGAGCCATATTTATATTACACGTAAGTGTCATCCCGGCATACGGATCAGGGGTCGCAAAAAAATTTGTCCTTGGGTCGCGAGATTTTACAAAATTCATTTTAAAAAAATATTTGGTGCTCAAGAAAAGGTTGGGTACCACTAGTCTACAACAGGGGTGCACAACACAGGCATATACGCTCGAACGGTTTGGTAAAAGTATTTCTTATATTTATAACTAGGGTTACCATATTTTTGTGTCTTCAACTCGGGACGCCTCAAAAGACAATGACCCCTTATCTGTGATTTTGTAACTACATAGGCCTACATTCCTACATTTAAAGCTGTCTCGGCTGTCTTTATTGGACACATTGTTATCGAAATTTCATGCGTATATTCTCTGTCCAAATATAGGGTTCAGTTCGAAAAATAGGAAGAAATTGACGTTAACGATACCGGTACAAATACCTCGAATTTAGACCATTTAGTATTGGTTTTACATGCGATACATCTGTCATCAATGGGAATTAGCGGGAAACGATCGCATTCACATTCAGTAAGTAGCTAGCGCTGCGCTACACAGAAACAACAGTAACGAGAACATGTTTGTGTATTATGCTGGAAAAGCGGGACTTTTAGCTGACTCATCGGGACGGCGGGACAAAACGCTAAAAAGCGGGACTGTCCCGCCTAAATCACCATGTTTATTCACATTTTGCTAGCTTTTAAGTCGCAATAACTTAAACTTCATAGACCATTCAGTTCGGATGTTGAACTTATTAATGACGCTGACACTCAACTGTAACTCCTGGACTTGAGGTCAAGCCGTAAATAATACGTAATTACTTGACTTTTACTTCTGCCTCGAGGAAGAGAAATATCAAGTTTTGTTTCACCTGATCTTAGTCCACTTGACCCTAACATCTGTGACGCTGAATTAGGTCGTACCAGGGTATACAAAATATGAATACACGCATCTGCTTCTAAGGCACTAGTGAGCAATATATATTATTTTTCTTGAGGGAACAAAAAATTAATCACTAAAAGACTTTCAAAATTACGAAATCTAAATATTCCAATATTTATTTATCGAGATTCCTGAATGAGATTTCACATATTCCTCTGTATTATTCGATACTTGCGCAGAAAGGACTGGCTTCTTACATGTTTTATATAAATGTAAATGCTGATTGTCGCCATGAGACTAATTGCTTCATTCATTTTTAAGCTAACGTACAAGCTTCACGTATTTATTAGACTGTTGAATCGTCTTGTTGGCTGCTATTCCGTCTTTTTGTCAGTGGTTTATCATGGGCTTCATTATCGACTGAGGTATTTGTGTCTTCCTTTGACCACGGTTGTTCCTTGTCAGAAGCAAATATGCAAAATGTTATGGCGGCTAATATATTTATGCCAGCGGTAATGAAGAAAATTGTTCGCCAACCGCCAATTGAATTCTGTAAAAGTGAATATTGAAGTTACCCAAATTACCATGTTATGTGACCAAACTGCGAAAAATAGACATCGTAGTAACTAACCTCATTATGTAATAGTACTCCAGTCAACTGCGGAGCTAAAATTCCTGTCAAGTGACTTGTTGTTACAAGAATTCCAAACAATATACTGGAGTATCTGTTCGACAGATCAAAAACATTTGCTTCTGTACCAGGAACTAAAAGTAAAATTTACTAATGAGTTAATACTAGCTGTACACGAAAATAATATACCATGATACTTATACGAACAACGCAAATGGGAAATCGTAATATGTGGAACATTGCAATCTTAAATACCTCTGTCATGCTACCAGTTGTTGACTAATATGATAAAATATATTCACTCCCAAACTTCGATATAAAATAAGTCAGCCTGTGTTCAGAGTAATTCGATAACACGATATACAGGCAATTCGTATGCCTCTTCACAACTATAATCAAATATGAACCCCCGATTAAATGAACAGCGTACAAAAAATTTGTGCTTACTGTGCAGTCCTTGAAGCGATATGATTAAAAAGAATAAAAGTATTGTCAATTGTTGATTGCAACCAGTGTATGAGGCTAAAATGAAGAAGATAGCGGAAGGTAAAGTGACAGTCGCAACCAATCCTTTCCGTATTGTGATCATAGAAAATGTTTTCTTCCGTTTCAGTACGTTCGATATTCTTTCTCCAATCAACGTAATGACCATCATCATCAACCACGGCGCACCGGTGGATGCTCCAGCCTAAATTGCGTTGTCATATTCACATGTTCATTCAGATTGCACTTGGCATTATTTCTCAAATCTTGCGGGTTTAAAATAACGGTAAAACTTAATATGTTTAAGTTTAGAGTATGGCCTAAGCCCTAAATGAGAAGAAGAATTTTTTGTATTACCACACACATGATTCCAATCACGATAACAAACTCTAGTTACACTGAGTTCAAAAAATAAAGTGCTTGGATAAGCGAAAAAAATGAATGTTAGTGCGAATATTCCTTGTAAAAATACATAAATAAAAATAACATTATAGGTTACCGCTAATATTCCCAAGTTCAAAGTGTTTGTTAAATACGTTGGTAACACCAAACTTGTCATCGTCAATGTCCAATCAAAAGAAATATGTGTGATAACTGTTGCTAGGAAAGGTAATGACGTCATAATTCTCAACCACGGTATGTTTTGTTCTTTTTTATCCTGTAAACGAAAAACTATCTATCATTTATTTACTCCAGGCAAGTTCTACACGCACTTACTCCGAAACCATGGTAGCACATCAAATAAAATTCCACAAAATTATGCTGGGATTTTGTCAGAATTTGTCTATTGTGACTTGAATTTGTTAAAATTTTATGAGAATATTATAGTACATTTGTTTGGCATATTTTGAGGTCTGTTCCTATATGTATGTGTATTGGAACAAATTTCAGAAATGTATTTACTTACGTTTTCGTTGATTATAGAAGTATTTCTCAGTAAATATTTTTTCTCTTTTTTCGTTATTCTTGGATGTTGCTCAGGAGAATTGTAAACCAAACCAAACCACAGAATAGACCAAAGCAGCGAGAAAGAACCTGTAACATGTTTTATGAAGTTAACGTATTATAGAAAAAGTATTTATCATAATCCTCAGAAATCAACGAGTTTTAACGTATTATTTTATGATAAGAAGTCTATTTATAAAAGAGAACTTGATTGCAAATTTCCGTTTCGTTTATAATTATTTGGTTTATACTACAAATTGCGCCATATTAATTAAGTGCATATGAAGACGTACCCGTCACGTAAAATACTGTTTCCCAATTGACGTATTCACTTATAAGTGCAGAGATAGGCAAGGCGGCAAATGCTCCAAGAAAAAAACCGCACATTACGATTGAAATCGCTGTAGTTTTATGCTGGAAAGGAATCCATGCCGAGAAAGCTGCTACTGATGAAGGACCGACGGCACCCTGAACCCACGCATAGATGTTTAAGAAGTTTAAATAATAAATGCAGTCATAAATTGATCTGATAAATCATTTGACCATGTTCCACTTGCTCGCTAAAGAACAAGACGTATTGCAAGTCAAACAATTTCATACTGAGTATTCGATAACTAGTAAATTATAACAGCCGCAACCTACCTGACAAAAGCCAATGATTATCCTCAGTGTAACGAAATATACAAATCCACCGTAAGCTGCATATGGTATTAAAATTGTGAGTATTGATGACAAAGCAACTGCTGCACCAACAACAATTTTGAATCCAACTTTCTTAGCAGCCCATGGTCCCAAAATTGGTGTACACACGAATCCATAGAAATAGCATCCCAGAGCAAGGCCTTGTTTCACAGTGTTCCATTCAAATGAACCAAACTACAAATTTAATAGGAAAAAGTTAATATATATCAGAAAATATGACCGCAGGTCTTTGGTATTTCTTTTTTCGATACGCGAACAACTAGGCGAGATAGACGCGGAGAAAAGTATACATGAATTCATATCATATAAAATTTTCGCGCTCCCGAAGTATGTGCACCAAGATGGCACACAATCTGAACTCTAACCTTGTACAACTACTTTGTTCAGGTTGTGCGCCATCTTGATGCACATATTTCTGGAGGTCCAAATTATTTTGTTTATTACAACATTGTTGCTCATAAAGTTGTATTTGTCCTTGGTACTTAATTGTTGTAATATAAAATCGTTACCTTCTCAATATTTTCGGTTGTTGTATTATCAGAATTAGAACAAGAATCGTAGGATAAACGACTTGAATTATTAGTCGAAGACGTGTTTACCATTGAAACAATTGCGATGCTCAAGTTATACCTCAGCAATGGAATGTTGAACGACCCAAAGAATAGCATCGATAAAAGCACATATCGTGCGGGAACATCAGAACACATTTCAAAATATTGTGTCCAAATATCAAAAAACTTGCTACAGCAAATTCTTAATGTTTAATTGAAGATTAATTATACTTTCAAACTGGGAAACAAAGTCTATCTAAGTACAAAGAAGAAGGATGGAGAAATGAATACTCAAAGCAATATAAATTATTTGTGATAGTGTACTGCAAGACCCTTGAATTATTTTGAACAGTTATCTTAGCTCTTAGCATGAGAATCCACCAGCGTAAAAGCACGAGAGAATGACGAGAAATTAGTCCCACAGAAAGCCAATCGACAATGTAATATTAACTTAATTTGTCAATTCAAAAGTTTTTTTTATGTATGAAGGAGGTCCAGGGGCTTTGAAATACACTGCGGCGGGGACCACAGGACTAAACAACAAAGAAGCAAATAAGATTGCGTTAGAGCAAGCGAATGACACAGACACATATACGATCATTTGCAATTAGGCATGAAAGTTTATGCGCATATTGGTTTAAACTGGCACAAAAGTAATGGGTTCAAGACACCCCATACGGAAGAAATGCGAAATCAAATATTTTCCTACTCAAATACAAAACGTGGTTCCATTACATTTGAACCCACGTACATTTGAACTCACGACGATCGCACCGGCATACTATTGAACCTATGGAAATTTTTGTTGTTTTACGGATATTTGAACCCATACTAACCCTAACCCATGGGTTTAGCACCCGCATATAGATTGAACCCGCGAATATACACATGGGTTCAAATGTACGTGGGTTTAAATGTACGGTCACCACAAAACGTATGTATCAACAAAATCGACGATATATGATAACTGAACATGAATTTAGTTATACCCTAGCCGAGGAGGTGTAGCGACATCGCTTTCTTGGGCTATATACATACATATATAGTAAGAATTCGCCGATCAAAAAACTACGATTGAGTCTTGTATATATATATAGGCTTACCATACGTCCCGCTTTAGGCGGGACAGTCCCGCTTTTTAGCGTCTTGTCCCCCCGTCCCGACAAGTCTGCCAAAAGTCCCGCTTTTGCGTTCAGCCATCCAGCATAATACACGAACCTGTTCTCGTTACTGTTGTTGCTGTGTAGCGCAACGCTAGCCTACTTACCGAAGGTGAATGCGTTAGTTTATTTGTTTCGTTGTTTCCCGCTAACATTGTTAGCGAACGTATCACATGTAAAATCAATTCTAATTGGTCCTGTTCGGACGTTCGCGTGAATGTAACATTGAACAACGTTTTTTTAAAGGTGTCATCTACAGAAAAGCATGCTTGGGCGAATAAGTAAATTCTCAATGCTTGAAAACGGCAGACTATTTCATTATTCTTTATTCCTTTTGCTGTACATAATAAAATCTAAATTCGTATCATTTGTATCGTTAGCGTCTATTCCTTTCTATTTTTCGAACTGAACTCGATATTTGGACAGAGAATATGCGCATGAACTCTCGATGACAATATGGTCAACAAAGACCAGTGGCGTAGCCAGGGGAGTGGTTTTGCGGGTCGAAACCCCCCCTTTTGAAATGTAAAGAAATAAAATCATTTTTCTGTATCATAGATATGAATTTTCCGTAGCTTGAAATGCTTTTTAGACCCTCGAAATTATTAAAAAAGGCGTATTCCAGCGTTCGATCGGACCTGGCAAATAAATATTTCAGAATCCCCCTTCTTTGAAAATTTCTGGCTACGCCCCTGATGAAGACAGTCGGGATGGCTTAAGTGGAGGCCTATGTAGTAAAATCGGAAACTGTAAAGTTACAAGAGGCGTCCCGCTTTGAAGTCAAGAAAATATGGTAACCCTATATATATACCACAAACGGGGTTAAATTACGAGACTTGCCGAGAATTTCGAGGAAAGCGTTGTCGGACAATCAGGCCTACAACGTCAATAATACCTCTTTGACTTTGCTTTGAAAATTTAAACTGAATGTGATTATTGAATAATAAGTACCTTCAGCCGCTAAAAAATATTTTGCCTCTCTTTCCCAAATTTGTTCGAGGATAGTTTCCATGTTATGTATTATGTATATATTTATTTAAGTTTCTGCTATGCCGTCATACAACTATATTTTATGTACTTTTTATCTGTATAATTTCACTCACTTATTTGCTTTTGTAAACGTTTTGTTTTCCCGGACAATGAACAAATTGTATTACCACACAAGGGAGCTCGTGTTTCAAACTTTATGCAGCATGCGACCTAAAGTACGGTAATCGCACGCCTGGGTGCAATCTCAAGAATGTGTGTTCTCGACCGTGAATTGCAAACAAACAATGAATAGATTTAGTGCTACAATTAGTAGATAGTGCGTGATAGTACATTGTATTTCAAATATAAATTATTGATTAAACATTGTAGCCTGCAGATCAGTGTCCCCACCAACCCCTTTCAGTCTATTAGTTCCCGATATCCTGCAGATCGACCGTGCTAACTCTTGTTCCCTGTCCATACAATCTCTCTGGCAGTGAAATAAGGTGATTTTTGAAGATGTTTGAACCTACTTTCTATATATATTTTGTTAGGGATTGAACGACCCCAAACGCACACTTCTTGCCCTAATCTCTTGTCTAAACCCTTTTCAAACAACGTCTTTCGGGCTATTTTGTAGCGTTTTTATTATATTTTCTATAACTGTTGTACCTTTTTATGCATATAGCTTCTGGTCTCCTGTTTATCATATTGTCCAATCCAGCAACAAAGAATTCATGTGAAGGTAAACAGACGATACATGTGAATCTACACTTGAATCCCTTTTACATGAATTAGCGGAGCTCAAAATAAACTGCACAACAAACAACTTGAGTTCTCAGGGCTATTGAATACACGGATGAGTCATATTTAGCTTAGTCTAGGGTTGCCATACCGTCCGGACATGTCCGGAATTTAGGGTTAAATTTTGCGTCCGGAAAGAATTTAAAAAATGCTCAAATATCCGGAATTTTACGGCATCTGCTATCCTACTGTGCACACTGCTAATACAGAACATTGTTATTTCGTACCGTGCGCATATTTTTTACTACGAGGTCATGAAAATAGTCATGCAGTGTCCGGAATTTTGCGTTTTCAAATATGGTGACCCTAGCTTAGTCCTATCCAATAAATAAAAATTTTAACTCTTCTTTCTGTTTCTCGTTGTTCTAATGGCCATATGTAGTTATGCAAAACGGCGATAATACGAAAACAATCGAAAGTGTCTATGCTGGCGATAATGAAAACTTTTCCGTCTCAAAAAATCTCGATTGCCTGCGCAAAAATTGAATCTGCAAGAACTTTTGCACGATAGAAAACGCTGTCATTATTTGTTGACTACCGGTAACTAGTTTGATTACATTCAAACGCTTCGAGCTCACGCTTTGTTTAGTCGGTAGATCAACGGCAATGACGTGTACTTAATTGAACGGAAACAAATAACACATGAATGACGTAGTTTTTGCAAGGATTAATACCATTTCCAATGATATAACTTGATTCCAAAAATCAAATGGCGGCAATACGTTACCCGCGGGCATTTGCCCAATTTCACGCTTCACGGACCACAGAGGGGTCAAAATAGAAAGTACATTTTGAAAAATACTTATTTATACGAAAAAAGGCTGCTTTTAAATAATACTCTATTTTGTAATCGTTAATGTGTACTTTATGCCTTTTAGTCTTGTAAACATGTAGGCCTAAGGAATAAAGGCAAAAGGTCAACTCTTCCTCACCGCCGCCTGATTTTTCCTTAAAATGTTAAAAAAAATCACTCATGTTCGCTAAACTCGGTTCAACAGATAAATGAACTGCAGCTCACGAATTGCAGCAAGCACTGTCTATCTCTATTGTCACATAACCGCTGTAAAAAACTGCACGTAAAGAACACCAAAGCCTGTTTCCGCTATCGGGCTGTCGATCGACTCCATGGATTGAGTACAGCGGCTACGATTTTGCTTCGGGGGCTATTTATAGCTTGGTTTTATGTAATAGGTTGTCATGTATTGTTGTTATGTAATTATATCTGATGACTCCTACTAGTTGCTCTAAGTCTATAGAGCCTAACTTAAAGTCATAGCTTGTCTAATACCGTAGGTGCACATGGTTCATTTCCGCGAAAATCCTCCACAGCTGATTTGAAACGTACTGTGGTGCTAAGATTGGCTCATCAGTTAGTTCTTGTTCCTTTTTATCGGTATCGTCGTAAAGACCATAACTTTGGACCGTAAGACCAATGTTCTGTCATTGCATACACCACTCAATGCGATATATGAACCATTTTTATTGTAATATATACTCTAGGAATGCGTATATTTCACGCGAAAAAGTAAGAGTCATAAAAGCGAACAATGTTCATGCAAATATAGGTGACATGGTAACAGTCTTGTGGCACTATTGATTTGTTATACACAATGATTTAAGATATTCTTATATCAAATGTCACAATTGACTTTAGTCATAAGAATTGAATCACGGCCGTCACCCTATAAGCGCGATATAAAACCAATGTTGTATTTATAAAAGTAAGCATAATAAGTTTATACAATATGTACGCTTTGTCAAAGTTGTAAAAATTTGATTGTCCCATGACAAAGAGATAGAAATTAGCTTTCTCAAGATGGCGTCAAAATTTTTGTCAACATTCGGCAAAGTGTCAAAGTCACTTTGTTTAGATATTTCAAAGTCCAAAGAAAATTTAGTCTGAACCTGTTCTATTTCTAGCGTAAATTTTATAGTATAAACAAAGGAAAGAATTTTTACTAGGTCACAGATTATATTTTTTTCATAAAAGAATGTGGCATTAGATTTAATCAAGCCTGAATTATTGAGAAAGTTGAATTTGCATTAGTTTATTATATTTCTGGTTTGGTATTGTGGAGTTTTGCAATCTACACATGTAGCTCTTGTAGCAAGAATATTGCGACTTGAGTATCGCGAATGTATTGTTATGTCATAAACGTCGTAAATAATTTATGATAGTAGCTGCCCACTACGACTATCAGTTCTTTCACTTATTGTTAGCTTAAATTAATGTAAATTAATTATTACAAATCTGTGTATCACAGAAATTTTCAGTGGTTCGCCACCCATGGTAATTATAATGGTTCCTATATTGGAAAAAAAATGGTTCCCGTACATTTGAAACCCACGGCAATTGCACCTGCATACTATTGCACCTAGGAATTTTTTTTTTGTTTTGCGGATATTTGAACCCACATATACTAACCCTAACCCATGAGTTTCAGCACCCGCATATAGTTTGAACCCGCGGATATAATACACTTGGGTTCAAATGTATGTCACCGAAAAAAATATGTCCTTAATGCCGATGAATCAAATAAGTGCGAAAGATATAAACATTTAATTTCCTTTCAATCATATACAAGTTCTCCAATACGTCGTGGTTGAGTTTAGCTGACAGTCTACTCATAGCCTTCATCATTCTTATCTTCCTCTTTCTCTTCTTTTTCCCTTTCTACTTTCTCTTTTTCTTCTTCTTTATCTTCTTCCTCTCCTTTTGTGTCATCATCTTTACCTTTTTCAGTCTCATCTTCCAAATTAGCTGTAAGATTTTTTGAGTAGTTTAAGTCTGCACAATAAGCTAAGGCGAATGAGGACAATAATGTAACAAGCATCATCACTTTATGGTCACCTCCTTTCCGGTTACTAATTACAATTAGTCGTGTTCAAAAAACTCGACTCAAAGAAAAAACATGAAGTTTTTGAAGATAGAAGTAAAAGCAAATCACGTTTCCTACGTGTGCTACTTACCAGTGCGACCAAACACCGGAAATGATTTGATACCGTCAACATCATCTCCGTCTACTGCTGTCATGACAACCTTAAAATCACTATCCGGTTTTAGATCGGTGATTGTCCCAGTGCAGCAATCTTCTGAACTTACAGATTTTATTCTCTAAATGAAATTTAACAGAAAAAATGTATTATGAATTAGGCATCTCTGACTCTTGTTTGGGTGCAACAACAAACCGTTGTCCATCATCTATATTCAACACGATAATTTGAGGGAAAAGTTGCCGTATGGCTTTTATCATCAGGGTGGTCAGGTTTTTAACATTAGCTAATTCGGACTCCTTTGAAGTTTTAGTTCAACTTCAAGCAGACACTCAGGATGTCATTTTTGTTTGGCTACATTGTGTGATTGGTAAAACTAGGTTTCAAACTGTATGGTATTGGGTCATAAATTTGGAATGTTCCATTCCAGCTTTGCCTTGGCGTTAGTATCGCATAATCGTAATATTTGTTGTTCTGTATGTGATTACCATAACTGCCATATTCTTGTATTTGTCGCTGGTGACCTCTACTGCCAGAAAAGAATATCGTACTGCTCCGGGTACTGCGTCCCATTTCACAGTTAGACTGGTTGCTGTTGCCTCCTCTTCTAACATTATAAGATTTTTTGTTGATTGTACTGAAAGTAAAATCATTTAAGTTATACAGTAATATAAAACTCTTTTATACCAATCTTTCATATTATTTATCTTTTATTTCTTTATTTAAAGGGGCAGGTTTAAAATATTAACTGTGGATTAACATAACTCATTATAAAGTCATATCTAATTGCAATTTGTATGTAAACATTTCACTGATTTACATCTACAAGTGGGAACTGGGTAGGTCCACTTCCCGGTTTTTCTTCCACACCAAGTGTATTCCCTTCCATCACTGATGTGTGGTTTATCGCAGTCAAATGCACAGAAGCTTCCAGGTGAACCCCATCTCGTGCAGGAATAGTTTCCATTTTTGAAATCTATATCAATCTCTTCACATCCGCCTGCGATATCATAGAATTAATAAATATAAACATTTGACAAGAAGAAAAATACCCGTAGCCACGATAAAGATATTTTTGTTATTCTTAGCTATCCTTTATTAATTTCTACGTCAAACTTGAAAAATAATTTATTGTTGTTCCACGTGCACAATTGGGTAAGCAACACGTGGTATTTGGTGTTTAGATATTATCGAATATCGTGAAAAAACATGAGCAATTATTCTGATATCACTATCGATCGCTATCTTAAGCTGCAGGGGATGTAGATGTGAGCCGAAACTTTTCCAAAATCGTGGCGAATTTCTAAACCGTTTACGTTACAGTAAATTCACGAATATTATTATAACCCGTAGGGCAGCCTACAGCACATATTTTTTGAATAAATTGTCAAACAATTATTGATGCAACTGAATAAACATTTTTTGGATAAAAAATAAAATATTACCCGGACAACCACGTTCATCACTACCATCCATGCAATCTAATTGCCTGTTGCACCACTGTCGAGCTGGAATACACTCAGTTTCGTTGGAAGCACAAGTAAATTTTCTTCTTCCGCATTTACCAGGCTCGGGTGTTGGCATGGGCCTCGTTGTTGTCTGTAGGTTAGAATTAGATTAAATCATTTTAAATGAATGAGCATTTAAAAGCGTTCAACTAAGATATCCCATGTATTATCAAACAATTCGGATTAGATGCTGGCGATAGAAATGCTTTAAATATCTCGTTGTTATTGGTATATTGCTTTACACTTTTCATTTGCATACATAATCTTGCACTAGAATGGCTTCATTTCAAACAATATTTCAGCAAATTCTCTTCGGTTATCATTCTTTATATTATACGTACCGCTCGAGTAGTAGTTGGGGCCCAGAGTGTTCGCACACGTGCAGGAACTCCTTGTTTACCGCGTCGACAGTCATAACTGACCGCGCTAACTTGAACTCCGTAAATCCTCCAAGGAGAGAGGTTGGAAAACTAGAAAACATGGGTGAATGTGTCATCAAGTAGTTTATCTAAATTGACTTGAGGTAATTCTGTAACGGTAGGCGAACGTATATTTATCATTAGTAAAAAAATGCGCGAGTTTACTGTATATGTCACTAGAAACTCCAAACATATCCAAAATGCTTCTCCTCGGATGGCTTTGTATTTTAAAATATTGTCAAAACTCTCAATCTGAAGATGTAAATTAAATCAGGCCTGGGATAACTACCGTTCCCGTGACACTTCTTACCTCAATCGTAGTTCCTTCGTGGCATGGAATTACGCGTAACACATGAATTGTATATGAATTCAACAGTTCTACATAGTAGCATTGGGCGGAAGGTTCCGGTAACCAAGTGACTGTGAAGCCTCTTGTTGACGCCGAATTCCAGTCAATTTCAGTTCTTCTTACGCGAGGAATGCACCTCTTTCCTTTGCATTTGTTTTGAAGTGGAATTGTACCAGGACATCCTTTTTGAGTAACAAACAATTTCTGTTTCAGTTTAGTTATATTGGGCAAATATTTTTCAATGCCTTGTATTGTGCGTGAACAGAGAATATCGAAAGTTAGTCTGTTTGTTTTTATTTTCATTCTGTGTTAATTTTCCTCCGGAATTATATGTCGTAGCAGAGACATTATGTTGAATTTTGTTTCCAGATTCTTTTATTGTATAATATGCTCAAATTTTTCAGTTATTTTTTATAATTCGAGATACAGCTCGCCTAACTTATCTCAATATATTTATATTTGGAACCTAATTCAAAGATGGGATTAAGAAAATTTAGTGGTCTTGAAATTTTGTGACACAGTTTTCCAAATACATATACGAGTATATTTCCAAATATATTTGAAATCGCTGTAATCGCATCAATTACGATAGGACGTAATTTATTTGTAATTTTATTTATTTTTCATTTGAATAAACGTTACTTGCGATCAAAGTTAAAAGATGCAGAAACTAGCAATTTACGTTAAGTGCAAAACAAATCGTCTTTGATGTGGGATTTCAGTGAAAACAATTATCATGAAAACGTTCGTATAATTTTATTTAATCAAGAATCACTAGTGATTGACAGCGCATTATATGAAACTAGTTTGTACTGTAACCAGGGGCGTGCCAAACTTATGTGCTGCCCAGGACGAGTTTCTGATAATGATGCCCCTTATACTTAACTTTGGCTGCCCTATGGCATTATCTTAAGTGCTGATTGCAACAATCCTCTTTCTGTGTTATTTCATCTCAACAATATTGTACAAGTTGTAGTGTCGTTAAAAAATTGGAAGACATTTACACATCTGGTTATAAACCTGATCCTCGGAATTTGGAAAGTTTTACTGAGCCGATAGCAGACCGAATTGCACGATGTATATATCTAGAGTTTTCAGCGACTCATTTTCTCGCATTTTAGATTTTGGGTCACAGAAATATTATGGGATCGAAAATCACGTCAGCTTAACGAATCAGTAATACGCGAAATCGTCAAAAAATAAAATGCTAAACTTCGACTATTATTATCCACCTATAGCCACGTGAAACTCTTGTGAAGGTAATTGAAATGTACTAACTAACTATCTAATGTCATAAATGATGTGACCTACTAATAGTTCAACAACGGTCTTACAGTTGTTTGTTAGATTCGTGCCTTTTGCGAAAGAAAAATTTATATTCATTCCGACCCACAAACATCATCGAATCTCGTCCACCTCCGATCATTCAAATAGTTGACCGTGTGGAAGAAAACAGTCTGATTTATGAATGTATGTAACTAGATTTAATTGTTGATATGATAATCTATGAAATATTCGGATATATATAAAAACATATCAAATGTACTCACTTAGTGATAACACCTCGCTCGTCAATACGACTGCAACGAGTAAAATTTCTATGGACGAATGCATGCTGGTTCGATTCCTCCTATTCGCCGCGTGCCTTCGATCCACCAAGATATTTTATGTGATTTGAGAATAAGTTAGCCAACCAGTCTTTATATTCATGCCATTGTCGAGATTCCGTTTTTTTCGTTCGTAAATATGCTTGCACAGCGAGAAACTTGAACCTCGAGACCCTGAGGCTAATAGGTCTTATATTGTGATAATGTATCATAATATATTTCCGCAATCGTTTTTGTGATGACAGAATAAAATTAAAAGTTAGTAAAATAATTGATTTTTATTTCAAAATTTACTGGCGAATGCCAGTTCGGTAGCAAAAAAAGGATAATATACGATACCGTTTCAAAGATTTTATTCTTAATGTTTTCTAAATTCATTGTGGCGGTCTTCAAGTCACGCGAAAAATGCATCAGATCTGTGCAGTTTTTGTGAACACAAAATTGGACTGGTTTTTGCTCTTTGTTTATTTCTTACAATCCCCTTACGTCAAGGCGTAGATGTTTATCACAATAACTGCGCCACAACAATACACACGCGGTTAGCAATTCTAATTCTTGTTGCTATATCGGTGAATGAAATCAAGTGTCGTTTTCAATAGTTAACGACAACTTGATTACATGCTCGTTTACCTCAATTGTGCGTCTGGCGTGCATGAATGATATATTTTTAAAAAGATAAATGTTGACTGTAGATTTAGGTCATAACATGGAATTAGAGAAATCAGTGCCAAAAATATGCATCCACTGAAATTTCTTGTTTCTAATGTTATAGGATCTGATGTCATAGAGTGCGTACTTTGTATAAGAACACTCGATTGTGTCTTCATCAAATTAGCTATAATAAATTTGTATGCAAATTTGATATTTTGGAGCAGGGCATGATTAAAAAACAATATGGATTAATTCAAGTCTCTTTGCTTGAAATGGTCACAAAACTCGCCAAAATAAGGTATAAATACAGTATAAGCTGCTTAAGACACATGAACTTCTAGCGTATGTAATTAAGTGTTAAATATAGAGTAATTAGATATAATTTTTTTTTAAGATTCACGATTTTCAAGAAAATCCGATCGGGAATATTGCGTTAAAAAATTTACACGGACATTGTAATAAAAATAAGATTCTGTATTAATTTCTCTGCATCAATGCAAATCTTGATATTAGGCTTTTAAATGACTTTATTGGCGGGAATTTAGTGCTTCCATACATATTATTATTGATTCATACTTCAACAGTCAACAGTTTTTTACAAGCAAAATTGTGCCCAAATCGTTGCGCATCCTAATATTGCTCGAGGATTCTTGAGAAATAATTTAAAAAACGAAAAGAATTTGAACAAATATTGTGTATCGCATGTAGCTCATATTATTAGAAGAGCATAACATGAAATGTTTTAGTCTAATCACATTAATACACAACTACAAGCATGATTGGAGCATCGTATATTACATCCTTCAGATAACAATTCCAAAAATACCTTTGGCTGTTGAATTAATTCCTCATAAGAAAATCGAAAAGTTTAACTCAACGTACTCTTGCTGACTTTAAATTAGAGCGCCGTATCGCACGCACTCTGTACATTCTTTTAACGAAAACGTCCTACAAACGCAGTTACAATGATTAATTTAGTGAAATGGTTTCCTAATTTTGGTTGCAGAAAATACTCAGTATTACGAAAACGCAAATTCCTGCAAAACTTATTTATTTATTGAAATATCAAGGACACTAGTTATTTGTGATGAATCACCGTTATTATTAGTTTAAATATGCGAAGATATGATACAGTGTATAAGGAAATTGAACCTCGATTTGTGGATAATCGTGACATTGTGACCTTGTTATCCTAAACCTTGGGTTTCCGTCATTTTCGAGATTATTACAAAAAACGTAAAATCGATTTAATTTTATGTCACATCAGAAATGAATTATCCTGGTCTGAGCGGTGGTCCTCATAAAAAATGTGCCCGGACTCGGGCATAATGATTTGGTTTAGGATAAATAACTACAAAAAGCACATAGATTGGATAAATATGATTTATTATAAGTTCGAATACAATGTCCTGCTTGTATTTTTATTTTGGTATTTACTTTATCGAGGAAAAACATCATCAGCTTTGTTTGTATTTGTGACATGACGAAATCCGTGCTCTGATCTGACACGTAGATTTCGACCAATGTCACCTTACATTCCACGTTAGATACAAAACAAACAACAACGTCTACTATGGAAAGAATATGAAAAAAATCAATGCGCGTCGATCATTTCAACATTAAAATGTTAATTTCTGATCGTCTGTGCCGGTAATGCTAAACACATGATGAATTTTCCTTCGGCAGAAAATTGAAATGCCCGTGAAAACATAAACACTATGGCACATTCTATTTTACTTTCTTCCAAGTCAGAATAGTTTTCAATCATTATTACAACGATTTATGTACTTTCAATTCAGTTTTAAATTCAACTTGATTTTGTCTATCAAAAACTCTTGCAAAATATGAACGATTTCTAACTGACGCCTTTTCTCATTCATTTTGAATATAAATAAGCTAATGGTCGATTTTGTGTCTTCACGTTTCAAATATGATTTGTCATTTGAAATAGGTGACTTCAATCTTCACAAAACGAAGTGGCTTACGAGAGTTTCGCCAATTCACCATGCGGTTGTAAATCGTTTTCAATTTAGTGCTACACCACAGTAAGACGCCAGAACATGATGTGCAAAACATGATACACCTAATCTAACACAACAAGGTGACTGTAACCTCGGGAAGCGTTAGACATAGTTGATTACATACGCAGAACTATCATCAATGCCAATCTAAAACAATCATTAGACCATACTGTGAATGAGCGTTTGTTGTACACAAACTGTTCCCATATATGGTTTTGTTGAACTGTTGTGATCAAATCGCTTTTGAAAGTGGAAAAAGTCTTTAGAACACTATTACTTTTGTTTTTACAAATACATCCGAGTCCTACAGGGTCCGATATTTCACCCTTTTTTTAATACACGGGAACACTGATAAATAACATATAGGAACATATATATTCGTCAGTCCACATTACTAAACGCGGTGTACCATTCGTCGAAACTTCTCGTACATGTGCAGATTGATAAAATCAACATTTACAAATACAACAACAAACGTTAGCGGTATTTAAAAAGCTGATTATTATCTATAACGCCCCAGGTCTTCGTAAATCTTCTGAAACCTATTTCATAGTTTAAAAATAACTTCTATTTACCACAACTGAAAACATGATAATATTGTCATAAATCATGGTGACGAAAACAGAAGAATAGCCTACTCTTATGTTATATATCATTTTAGCGTGATTCTTGATCAAAAGTGAAGTAAAGTGTAAACGAGAAAGGTGAATGCAGTGCTAACGCCCAGGCATTTAACGGAGTCAACCTAGCGATACTCAATTATTTACAAGAGGCAGTGGTGGCAGAGGCAACTGGCTGTTGCTTCTTCAAAACAAGAAGACAATGCTAAGATATGGGGACACCAATGTGGTACCAAATCAATGAATGAATCATTTATGAGAATTAACTCGCCCCGAAATCGATGACAAAATGGTGTGGTGCGTGGTGGTAGATTATCTCCAACCGTCAAAATTTAGGATTGAGAAACAGACCCTGCAGGGTCCAGAGCAAATTCTAGAATATATCACATAAATTAAGTTTCATATACTTTTATCCTTAATTTGAGGGTGATTGGTCCGGAGGGTGGGGAGAAAAGCGTTTTCTAGTCCGACAAAAACATGAGCGCCATGCCTTAGCTACTATACCGCCATCTATTGTGTACGACATTTATTTATTTATATTTTATGGAGTAGCACGTCACACGGTTCACAAAATCGGTAACATCCCTTGTAATCCTATAAATGTGTATGTTTTTAAAGTCACAGTAATATCTCGATTATGCACAATATATTGGGAGAAATGGGACATTCTGTAATATCCGAATTATTAAACGGAGGAAGTGAATGATTAAAATAAAACGGGGGATACTAGCATATGCATGAATATATGTAACAAACCAGCAATGCTCAAATATATGGACACGAAAATAAAAATGAAAGCTTTATACTTAAAATCGAGTGTTACACTAATTGGAGGAAGCTATTTTTTAACAACAACCATCACTCTAACAAGATTAACAACAATAAGAAAGAGTAAGAAGAATCTTTCTTGAAAATAAATCTTTTAAAGCTCATTTAGGATTTATCATGAATTAAACCCTTAATATCATCATGTATATTTTTGCTTCTAACAATCTTGAGTTTCCGCCAAGAATGGTTTTCTTGTAACTATTTTTTTACCGTGGCAAAGGTAAAAATCAAATATTTCTATTTTATGTTGGCGAAAACAAAAACCGGTAAGATTGTATTTCGGTGGTGACGGCACATTTCCACTCCCATACATTTGCGCCCGTAAGCTGCACCCAGGGCTTTCGTACCTGTATATTTTATCATCTACCAACATTTGCACCCACAGATTTTAGCACCGAACATAAATTACACTCGTGGACATTTCCACCCACAAACAATTGCATTCATTGACATTTAAACCCACGTGCATTTGCATCCACGGCCTTTTGCAACCGTGAAAATTACACCTACACCTTGCCACAGCTATGAGATTCTTGACGTACTTTCAAAATCAGCATAGTATCTAATACGTTTGGGTGATTAGCGTACGTGTCCCACCTGTAAATAAATTTTCGTATTTCACAACATTCAAAAGTTTATTTACGGCGTCTTTATAGATGTTAGTATTGAAGTCTGGGATTGCATGGCTTCTACTCCTATTTTCAAGTTTCTAACTTTTGTCTTTTTTTAAAGTTCAGAATACATTTGGGTTCTGCTAAGCATCTGTGTTTTATTATTCTAAATATATGACCAAATGAGTTTCTTAATGAATTTATGATTTCGTTCGATACTACAATACACGATGTTAAATACGACAATTTAAGATAATAGTCAATCATCTTTTTCTTCCCTTTCAGACTTAAAGATCTTTGGATCTACAAAGTTAATGTTTGTTCTCAGGTTTGGATTCACATTTTTGCATGTTGTTGCTGAACAGAA